CCCAAAACCCCAAAACCCCAAAACCCCAAAACCCCAAATGGGATATCTTTCTATATAATTTTATTCTAGCCAAGAAATGGGAGCCTACCAATCAAAATTACAACCAAGAATGACTCATTTTGACCTTGATAACTTCTGGCATGATTGCAAAAAGAAGACTATAGAACAAAATGCAGAATACATCAGAGATCAAGAAGAAAGGGAAGCATTTAGAAAAGAAGAGAATGACAAAAATTTTAAAGAAAGATTCAGTCATTCCTCTAGTCTTCACTTAGACTTCTCTACTTATCACGGTACTGATTTTATTAAGACAATTGGAGAGCATATCTTACCTAGACTGAATACTATCAGTATGAGAAACTGTGTAAATGCCCCAGATAGATTTGAGAAGTTCTTTAGGTTCAATTTCCCTGAAAAGATTTCCAACCTGAATATCTTCAATGCTGGATTAGATTTATCAGACTATAACCTAACTGACATTAGAGCTATCTTATCTAAGAGGATTTCAAATTCTTTAAGGCTGCATGGATTCACTATGTCTTGTTACAACCTTGAACAGCTTTTGACAATGGGCTATAAATTGAATAAAATTAACTTCTCAGGATGCAAGCTCAACGATAATGAGGATATCATCCTCGAGGAAGAATACCCAAATCTTGAAGAACTCAACCTTGAGGGTGTCGGACTTTCTAAGGTCAACATTGAGCATATCGGTAGGATCTGAGGTTGTTAATATTTAGTTGACTATTTGATCTACAAAAGAGCAGCTTTGAGACTAAGATATCTCAATCTTTATCATGAAGGCATGGAAGATTTTCTTACTCAGATAGAAAACAAACTCAGACTTCATGGATATAAAGGAAGCTTTAAGACTGTTGGAGACTTCTTGGCATTTCTAAACTTCCTTAGCTACACTGGAGAATTATTCTCTTCAGGTATAAATACTCTCGGAAGATGGATGTGCCATTTGTTCAGATTGATTTTCTACCCAATAACCTTCCTCTACCGCTCAGTAGCTGGTTCTTCATAAAAGTATTGCAAAGCCAAGTGTCCATTACTTAGAAAGATTTAACTCGTTTTATTTATTTTTATTTCTTTTCGAGCTATTTTCTTTTAAACATTGTTTTTAGTAATTTTAGTGAACTTTTTGTTATGCTTAATTGTCTTTTATGCCTTTTAAGATCAATTTTTCACTAAATTTTCTCTTTCAATATATGAACTCTCCTCTGGGGTTTTGGGGTTTTGGGGTTTTGGGG